CTCGAAGAAACCGTTTTCTATGATTAGTTTGTCTTCTTGGAATAACTACTGCTTGCTTCTTCTCTTTTTCCAGATTGAGAAAGCATATGATGTGGTGTATGTTACGGTGTGAAGATGTTCCAGTGTGAAAGATTTTGGAAAAACAAAAGGTTACAAGAAGAGCTACCAAGGAGGGAGGAAGGAGAAGCCTAGTGAAGAACTCTGTTTTGGTTGTGTTATTTACATCCATAAGAACAAAAGTTGCAAAGATGCATTGTTGTAGTGTTTGATAAACATAATCGTTTAATGTATTGGATTATACCACAAAACAAAAAAAAATTGGGTTACATATTTATGATATTTGAGGGATCTATTTTTAAATCTTGCCTCTAGGCCTATAAAATGTTTGAGCCGACACTGATGGCATCCCATCAGCCACTGTTTTCACTTTCATTGATAGAGAAATCCGAAACATCATCAACTCTAGGCGGCAACGAAGACATTTTCGCAATTTGACAGAGCTTTGGTTACGTTAAGTCCATATTTGATTTTTATATTTTTTTTAAATGTATGTTTTTCTTATTTTTTATTTTATTTTTGTCAAAGGAAGAAGCATTGTAATAGGTTGCAAACTTTTGTAACACTAACATTCAGTAAATGATATTAACATGTTTAGAAAAAAAAAATGGGATATGTAACATGTTCTCAATTCTCTGTAAGATATATATTATTTCAATTAAAGTAGCCAACATATAGTGCAAGACTATATAGCACGAGCTTTATGGTTTTAGGCTTTAAAAGTAGCCCCAAAAGCAAGATGTAGATGTTTGTATATATATATATTTTTTTTTTGGGATCACATGTTTGTATATATATATAGACAAGACATTGGAACAAGAAGGCGCATGGCGAGGCAACGTTAGAGTGTGCATGAACTGTTCCCTCCACGTGTGAAACGTGAGCTGCGACCAACTTCCATGAGCTCGGCTCACGTGCGGGCCTTCACGTGCCACGTAGTAACAACTTGTGGTCTTAACCATGGCCATGTCAGAACACACTCTTCTTTCTCCTTCTACTTTCTTTAGCTTTCAATAAAGGCCAAAAGAGGTATCTTCAAATGTTTTTTTGGCATTTCACTTGTCATTTTAGGTGTTTAAGCAAGTTAACAATTAATTCAATATGGTGCCTTGATTATAGATTAAGATATGTGACTATTCTGTGCTCATTGACCTCATTATATATATATAATTGAGTCAATGTTGATTCAACTGACACACTGATTTTGACTTCTTTTTTAAGTTAATTTCTATAATAAGTTTCTCCATACGCCTAATCACGATTCTTCCATAAAAGTTGTTAAAGGTTGAAGCGGTTCAAACATTTTACTACGAGTCAAATAACCTAAGTCTTATAATATATTTGTTTAGACGACATTTTTCATGTAAGATTTCTGAACAAATTAAATCGGACATTATTTAAAATATTAGAAATATGGTGCCAATGGTTGTCACTTGTCTAGATAGAAAGATAAAATTGTAAATAAGCATTCATCGTTGATAACAAAAAAAAGCATTCATTTATAGTTTGATTAAGTCTAGCCAATCTATACGTTAAATAGAATGAACTATACATTTTCCTCATTTTCTTAAAAGAAAAATAAATTTCTTAAAATATACGGCGTTTATTACTATGCAAAAGAATGTGTGGAATAAATTTATTCTTTTATTTTCGTATATTTTTTATTTTTGTTCCACTAGTCCTTTTCATCATTTTAACCATTTAGCTAAAAATTATTTTTGAAAACTTAAATTTGTACCAATCAAAAGAGCGAATATTTAGATATGTTTTTTTTATCAGGATATTTTTATAAAGGAAATGGAATAATTAAACCTAGAACTACTGCTATAAATTAAGAGGCATTTCATGAGCTCCACATCTGCAACTCACACACTAAAACCCACTGGTAAATCAGAAACACACAAAAACCCTAACTAAAAATGGCAGTGATGAGTCACAAGGCAGAAAGCAGGCTACACGAGTCAACTCGGGCTTGCCCGTTTCCTTACTCAGTAACTCGTGCCCACGAGAATGGAGGAGACGATGACGACGACGACTGTGACGTGGCTCCGGCGGCTTAATCATGTGCATTATGTCGTATGCATGCTAAACTTAATTAACAGTCAATTATAATTAAGTAGTAATGATTGTGCTTCTTGTCATAGAACCATACACACATAGCTAGTTGAAGAGTACAAGATTGTGCCTGTATTTATCCATGTCGCAAACAGGCTTTTACTATTTATTAGATAAACAACATTTTTGACTTCGGAGTGTTGAGAGACTTAGCTACTAGCTTTAAGTAATAATATTATGTACCGTGTGTCAATTATTCATTATAAAATACTATTACATTATCTACGCAAGATTTGTGGTAATTGTAGTATAATCAGCACTTAATAAGTTATATATGCGTGTGTAATATTACTTTCATCCTCCTTTGCTCAGCCTTGATTTTGTCGTGATCTCTACCTGTTAGGACCACTTTACTGCAAATACTATTAAATTAATATATTTGCCTCAAATGTGAGGTATGTTAAGAAATGAGTTGTTTGATTACTTGGACTTAATTTTATACTTAGAATTTGAGAAATAACGATGTGAATTTAAAAGTGTAGAACATTGTTAATCTTTTGAATAGTTGTTAGCCAAGAATGACCAGTGATGATCATTGATTGAAGAAGCTATATATTGTCACTACAAGAAAATATCCCCACATTTTCAAGTGATCAAGAGGCTATATTTGACACTTTTTTTTGTAGTGTCAAGTGATCAGAAGCATTCAGCCCCACATTGATTATCACAATTTGTAAGTACATTATGTATGGGTACATATACATTAAAATATACTATTTACTTTTCAAGTCGTTATAGCATTATACAGTATATACAACTCAAATTCGTAACTATATATATACTTTTGGTTTTCTATCTGAACCTAATGGCTAGCTTGTTGAAAAACCTAGCTAGCTATAATACTTCATCTTCAAGTAAAAATTTAACGAGAAAATGCTTTTAGGCTATGGGATCACTTAGAAGTTGGAATTAATAGGTTTCGTTAGAATCTAGTCCTTAATTAATTTGTTACATATTTGATGTGCATATGGTTTTTTGTTTTTGTTTTGTTTATGGTTTCGATGGTAAGATTCCACCAAGCAAAGAATGATTACAAACCACGATAGCTTACCAAGGTACAAAGCTCGAAAGAGAGAGATCACATACGTTGGAAGACATATAGTAAGTTGAGAACCCATTAAAAAGAAAAATTGGGTGACGGATTTTAAAATCTGTAAAAATAAATAAATGTGTTTGTAAAAATTTAATTGAAGGGTATGCATAATGTCTATTTGCAATATGTTTATTTCAATTATAATTAAGTGGTACTTATAAATAAATAGATAACATGATATCGATCTAGTTGAACTGAAATCAAAATTTTCATCAATGTTTGATCCATTAAAAACAAGGATATGTGTCAATATTTGTTTTGGGTGGAACGAACATTGATAACTTTTTTTCTATTTCTTTCAGGGCTATTCCACTATTTTATTTTGTTATTACGAAAATAGTTTAGCCATTTTTCATTAGGGGTTTTTTTGAAAAATACACCGATTAAATTTGAGAATTTGAAAAATATACCTTATTTTTTTTTTTTTTMAAAAATACCTCTTTTCATAGTTAAAAAGACTTTTTTATCCACATTTGATTTT